GAATTCGAACCCGCGACCCTCAGATTGCGAGTCGAGAGCCTTAACCACCTCGCCATGCCGCGCCTTGATCATTATAATACAGATATTACTCAGGCAAAGTATAATTTTTAGAGCTTTCAATCTTATTTGTTTACAGAGCCGTAAACTAGAAAATCATACCTACTTGCCAGGCCCACCTGTCACATCCTCTTTTCACAAACTGCCAATAGTTCTAACATTTTAAATTACATTATTTATAACCAATAGAAAGCCAAAGTTTTAATCCATCAAATGACATTATATTACAGTTTTCTGTACAGGGCAATGTATAATTCGTCATTCAGTTTCAAATTTATTCCCATGAGGATCACCTCGATGAGCATAGCTGAGATTTTAAAGCCGCTTAACACATAGTTAGAAAATCAGAAAAAAGTATGACAGCTATAAGAAATTATTTGCTTTATGTATGTTATTATTCTGTGTTCTTAGTTGCAGTATTTAAAAAAATAAATTATTTAGTGTGGTAGTACCATTTCCTGTCGACAGCAAAAAAAAAAAAGATGACTCAAGTGCTATATTTCTTGTTTTTCAGGTGTATTCTTTAGTTATTATTATAAAAGTAACTAAAATGTAAAAATTAGAAACTTCTTAAGTGAGATCAGGTAAGATTATGAAAAATAATTTTTCACAAGGTATGCTCACGAGCAGCTTGTGCATTACATCATTCAATACGATAACATGGCAGGCACATTCACAGAGTGACTTACAACTTGTGTGGCAGGATTATCAGACACTGTTAAAAGGGAAATAAAACAATAAAAATAAGAATAAACAGATGTTTACTGTTATGAGCTTTAAGATATTTAGAATAAACAACTGTAGTTTCTTGTTACAATTCTAGAAAGAAAAAAGAGTGAACAGCATCCACATTTAATTTCACAGCATTTTATGTTCAGAGCTTTGAAATGAAAATTTTTAAGATCAAATAATGGAGCTAAAAAAAAATCCAAGCATTAAAGAAGAAACTAATACAAAAAAAAGGCTCCCAATCTTGATACTTCTCGACAAAGGGATGAGTGCAATGAATGAATATACATCACCTGGGGCCACGTCATCAAATGAGCCAGTAGCAAGAGGGTTAAATACATTTCTTAATGGATGCTTTCACTTCCTACTTAAAATATTATAAACATATCTATTGAATAAACCATTTACAGTTTTGTGCTACCTTGCATGGCTTTATACTGAAGAGGTGTGATATGTTCAAATCCAGCTGGTGGCACATCCCAGTACAAAGATTGTTTTCTTCGTCTGAATTTCTTCTTGTCTACACCAAAACTATTCAAGTAAAATGTATAATACAATTAAAAATGTGACTCGAGTTTATTAAAAGTTAACATTTCTCTTACTATACAGGAATAGTTGCTACTGAAAGAATTTATTATTCATCCTCAAAGTAATGAATCTTAGTAACTTTATCAATTTTGAGTAAAATTTTCCCAATATACTTTTACCAAACTATTGTATGACATACCATTTTCCTTAAATCCATACAAATCCAAAATTATAAGACTTTTATCATCAAAAGTTGTGTACTATAATGCTCTTCTTGTATATATAACTTCTCCCATACCATAGATTACAAACATATCTTTGAAAATAAATCATAAACATGCTAAAAACTTAAGACTGCAACAAAGTTTTTTTCCAATAGTAGTAATATACTAATAATAAAGTTTAAAAAGCATGATCAAAATTTGCTAATGATGTAAAATAAAGACTTAAAGTTAATGAATCTTGTTCCTAATTTTGTTTAATATTTAGTGTAAAATAAAAAAATTAGCAATAATTACACAGGCCTGCAATGGTTTTATTGTCTTGAAATTTTTTACATGTTCTACAGTAATTCCTGTATGCTGAATACGAAAATGATATTCATTTTTCTCCATCACGTACAGATTTTTCACAAAACTTCATATGTACTTTTACACAAGTGAATCATTTTCATTGAAATCAGGTCACATTTTGTTATGCTTAAAATTGCTCACAACCACTGGTTACAGATTTCTCTAGAATAATCATTCTAGAACCCACGAGAAACACACCGCTAGTATATAAACAGTTAACATGCCACATGAGTGTCATTTCTGATAGTATTTGTTTGTGCGTGCACTTTGACATTATTTTTTTTCCTTTTCAATATTATTTATTTGTCGCTGTGGCAACAAGAATTTGTGTAAATTACCCAATATATATTTGTGGTAAATTTGATGTAAAGAAACAAAGGCAAAACATTACAGAATTCGTCAAAAAACATATGCATATTTAGGAATAAAACTTGGGGAACAAGACAAATCATGGCCTCTGCACAAAGTTTGCACCATTTGTGTTGAAGAGTTGAGACAATGGACTAAAGGTAAGAAAAAGTCTTTGCCTTTTGAAATTCCAATTGTCTGGCATAAGCCTAGAAACCTTGGAGATGACTGCTATTTTTGCTCATGTAATATGCAAGGCTACAACATTCGAAATAAAAAGGAAATTTCTTATCCAAATCTTCAATCTGCTATAAAACCTGTTGCTCATGGACCTGATATACCTGTACCTACTCCACCGGACTCTTGATACAGTTTCA